TCATGTTCAACTGATGCTTTGGCACTTACTAGCTGAATGCTCTGAGCTCTAACTATGCAAACAGTTACTGAACATTGCCTTTTAGTTTTAATAGATGTTTCAATGTGTCTTTATTAGGATTTAAATTCTTCCAAAGTCTGCTATTTTGAGCAAGCCTGGGGAAATCTGAAGGATTTGGAGAACTGGCTCCTGCACAATCAGCAGCGTGATGTTGCTGGGAAGACAGATTCCCCTGGTCGCAAGGACTCCACCTCTACTCTCAACTCATCCTTTTCCACTATTGAAAAGGTGGAGGAATTAGAATCCCTTGAACAGGAAGAGATGGACCTTTCTGACTGGCTGCTTACTCCTGACACAGAAAATGGAAGTATTGCTTCAGATGAGAAATGGAAGAATGAATTTAAACCTTTTAGGGAAGAATGCAATTTGAATGATTGGCTTCTCAAAGCTGAAACGTGTACCAGTTGTCGTGGCAGCCAGAGCAAAAGTGTGGAAATTGAGAACCTGGGAAATCTGAAGTGCCTGAATGAGCATCTTGATGGAAAAAAATCACCCACTACATCTGCTGTAAATGCTTGGCTTCTTCAGCATCCTCAGGCCCCCTTTAAAGTGGAAGATGTGTGTAAGGCTAATGATCTGTGTGCCAGCTTTTCAGAATGTGTGTGTGATGAAAACTGTGGAAAAGAGGCTCTTTGCAAATGGCTTCTGAAGAAAGATGGGAAGGACAAAAATGGAGTTCTGGTCAGCCAGAGAGATGTACCAGACCCTGAGCATGAGAAGACCAAGTTTGCTGCCAGTTCCTGGCTTAGCCCTGCACAGCAGCTCCCAGGGGAACCCATGAGTGCAGAGAAAGCAGATTATTCAGCAGAGATCGCAGAACCCTGGAAAGCATTGCTTGAGAGGCCTCTGACAAGCTGGCTGGTCAAGACTGAGCACAAAGCAGAAAGCACAGAAGAAAAGGAGAGTCGGGAAAAAGCAGATAAGAGTTTCAGGAGTCCTTTCCTAGACATCTTGGCTCCATTCCACCTCCCCTTAAATGTAAACAGTTGGGTGTTGACTTCAAATAACCTAGAAAATGCAAACCCACCTCCAGTGGAAGATAAATGGCTTCTGCGCAAGAAAGCACAAGTGAGCATAAGTTTTTGATACTTTTGTGTCTTATGTGCCAGGTTTATTGCTTTGCTGAGTTTAATGACTTCATTCTCTTCCAAAGTTGTAGCTCTTCTGGAGAATACAGACAAAGTTTTTAGGTTTCTTGGCTCTTTTAATGTTTTCACAGTTATTAGATACTTAGCACTAAACAAGTAAATATGTTATACTAAATGAAGAAAGCATTAATCTCAGAGACTCAAAAATTGATTTTGGTTTTGAACACTACAGAAGCTGAAGATACATCAAAATGTATTTATGTTTGGGGTTGGTAATTATGATAACTTCTCTTTCAGGACTTTGGCCTTCCTACAGTTTGTGACCTTTTTGCCTGTATGAAACTCAGCGGAGATAACGAAAAATGGCTGTATCGGTCTCCTTTACAGGTAGGATACAGAATGTGTTAGAACAGCTGAACCTAATCATCACTTGGGGATACAGAACATAGACACTGGCAGCTAATGGTCATCTTCAATTCTTTAAATGTTAGTTTAACAGTGTAGTAATTTATGCCCTCATAGACTTTTCTAACAGCTTGGACCAGTCTCCTTTGTTATTATTCCTCCTCCTTTTATCACAGGCCAGGGAGGGAATTACTTCTGCTCTTGTGTAATATAAATCTCTCAACTGATTGGCACTTGATAAGTCTGTAACCAAGATATGGAATTAATGTGTCTATCTCCAGGCGGCTTCTTTCTTACCTTAGTAATGTATTTATAGCTGACATCATGTTTTTTCTTTCTGATGATAAACTTTTTCTTGTTTTTGAAATTAATGAAAATGGTCCTTAGCAGTACTTCAAACCCTAAAAGGCAGGATATTCAGTTCTCATAATGTTAATATCACTTTTTTCAAGGGTATCTTGTAGGTTTTCTTTCCTTAAAGTGTTGTTGTTTATCAAAGATAATAACCCTATTTTAAATTTGTTTAGATGTGAAGAACTGGAAGTGTTGAAATCATCCCTTTCCTGCTATCAGTCGCACATCACGCTGAGTGACTGCAGCCAGCTGAGTGCTTGTGTTTTGTGTTTGGCCGTCTGCTTTCTCTTCTAAAATTATAACAAAAAGAAAGATTTCTTATCTAACAGAGTTATGGTGCAGAAGATCCCTTTTTGTTGTCATTAATTCTGAAATGTAAACCCACTGACCATAAGCAATCTGATGCTTTAGAGGTGTTAGCAAATTTGTATCTGTTATGGGAATACAAGGATCTTGAATGGGTTGTCACTTGAAGTATGTTGAAGCCGGGGCAGGTATAAAGCAGAATCTTCCTGGTGCTGTGGAACGTCCACCTTTGACAGTGACTTCAGAAGTGCTGCTGTTCCTTTCAGCTGCTACAACTTGGTCATGCGTTGGGTTCCAGCTTATATAGGCTGTACTTGCAAGCAATTTGTTTTATGGAGCAGTTGCTCACTTTAGAGGTTTCATTTGCATCCTGTGTTGGTGCATTTCCCAGCTAAATATGTGAAATCCAGACTTTGAAAAAGACATGGATTTATGGGACCTAACACGTGACAGGAGAAATGGTAACTTACTTTTAAATCAAAACTTGTAAATTTTGAGCCTTTCAGAGAACAGGGTAGGGTGTTAATTTTCATGTGCCAGTAGATCAGACCCTACTATCCCCCAGCATGTACAAACTATTTGAATGTCACTGAAAAAGCTGTAAAATGAAATGTGTGTTTCTGTTAGTTCTAGGTAATTCCTAATGAATTTTTATTGACTAAACCACTGGAAAGGAGGCATCTTAGCCACCTAAAATTTAAAGGTAATATTTGGGGAATTAGATGCCTTCAGCAGATTGATGTCATGCTGTTTAGTTGGGAAACACTAACTTGGCAAACTGTGGCTCCCACTGATGCAGTTTAAAGGTATTTAATCTGTGGTTTCCATGTGATTATGTATGTGAAAGTGGAGTCCAGTAACTCGGATCTTCCTGAAGCTGTGGACATAATATGAGCAATTACCTCTTCAGATATTTAGCCTTTTGAGCCTGTAGGAACGAGTGCAAAGATGTTATATGGAAACGTGGATCATGCCTGTCAGGCTCCATGGAAAAACTGTGAAATTCCATAGTTTCTAGTGCAGCTTCTACTCACTTAACAAATTGCTCTTAGTGACTATGAGAAAAGGCCCCTCTTCTCCCCATCCGTGCAGTCTGTCTGGGAATAAAAGTGATTTGAGTTCTTCATAACCCTGTAGAAAAGAAATTAAGAGCTGACCTTGGTGTCACTTTGCAGTGTGAACACATTCCTGTCTGATCAATCCTGTACATTCATTTAAAAGTAAGTTTTTAGTCTGAGAAGGGGAGACTGCACATCTGAAACCAGACCCTGAAAGGGCTTAACATCAGGAAAACACTTGAGGCTTTTGTACTTTCATAGCCAGGGCTTTCTGCTGGAGGCAGAGAGGTGTTTTAGGGGTCCACTTTCCCCTTCACACGTCCTTGTTGCTGCTTGGGAAGACTGCACTGTGACTTACTCCAGTAACAGCCTGATGTGATTAGCAGCTGAACTTAATGAAGGTGATTGACGTGCAGCCCACCTCTTCCAATTAATTCCACGTAGTTGTCATTGTGTGCTACTTTGTCAGTTCATTATGAGCCTTTAAAACCTGGGGGTATGTATTCCTTTACTCAACTGACTTCTTGTCACTAATTGATATTTATGTAAAACATTGATTAGTCTTTTCCATTAAAAAAAATAATTGCAACCAAAGTGTGTGTTATGTCTCATTTACAAGAGGGCCAGCACAAACTGCTGTGGCACATGTGCAGTTTGCCTCTGTCTGGAAGCTGCTGCACTTGTGCTTCCATCCACGTGGGAGTGACGTGCTTTAGTTCATTTCACCACTGCCTGGAGCTGCACTGAGCTCCAGAGCAGGGAACCTCTGGGAGCTGGCACAATCCTACACACTTAGTGGGAAACTCCTGTCAGGTACTGCCTTGCAATGTGACTCCCTGGACATGCAGTGGGTGTCTCAGTCACCTGGGATTTGCTCAGCTGTTGGAAGAAATAGACTTGGACAAAATGACCCATTTGCTTCTTGCTACTCTCAAATATTTAGTGAGGATTTACAGATTTTTAGTAGCATTTGGTCCCCTTCTCCCGTGGCTGAAGAAGAACATCTATGATCTGGCTGTGCAATTGGACCGAGTTCCTCTCTGTCTCCCTGCTGTTTGAGCATCTGCATGATTGGTTCCTCCACTGAGCATTTTCCAGTATTTAAACTGCAGCCTGCATTGTTCATTAGGAGAACATTTACAGCTGGGCCTGGCAGCCTTTCAACCATGGTACCTTACACTTCCTGTGGGGGTGGGCACACGTTTTTTTTTAAAGTGGACTGGAAGTTCTTTGTTAGTAGTCACATGCAGAACTCCTGAATGTGTATCCTGAATGTTTAGCTTTCAAAGATGGGGAAAAGCGAAAATTAGCCCAAGACAAGGAGGACAGACTAGCAGGAAGAGAATGCTATTCATGGGTTCTCAAATGGCTGGAGCACTTTCTTTGAACAAGCTGAGCTATGAGATTGATGCCCTCTGCTGAGGAACACTTCCTTCCGTCCCAAACCTCCCTGGAGCAGGGTGGCCACAGGCTCCAGGGGCACCAGCCCCTTAACTCCTTGTCCTCAGAGCAGCTGTGGAGTGGGTGGGGCAGCTGTTCCCACAGGGCATGGAGAGAGGGGGGCTGACAAAGGGGGAAATACCTGTGAGGAACACAGAGCAGGTATTAATCATGCTGGGAAAGTACCAAAAAGGGGTTGGGGTACCCTCTGGTGTCCCTGCACTGGCTGGCATTGAATGGCACAGACCAGTACTCGCACAGTGCACAAAGCTCCACTTTAAACATACCAGTTTCCTATCTAGAATTTATTAAGCATAGGGGTAACCTTCTGTTAAAGCATACAAAAGGATTTCCCCCCTCCTTTTGAAGTCCCAGATTAGATCACAGGAAACAGACTATGAACATGGGGTTGTTTTTATGCCCTAACATTTCTGCCTTCTGTTTTCAGAACCTGCTTCTGCTTCAGGGTGTCCAGAGATTTCCACCCTAAGCAGTAATTTTTAAACAAATTCCTCCAACAGTAACAGAAGTCACCTGCTGACAGAGAATGGTGTAAGTGGATTTGCCCTTCTGTTCCAAAGACTAAGCAGCACCAGCTTCACAAGACTCAAAACCCTTCCACTATACCTGCCGTCTCAGCTCCCTCACTTGGTGCCACAGCATGGAAAGCTGCCTTGTATCTATCAGCAAAGACATCACAACTGGCACCAAAACCCCGCTCCTCCAAGACAGTCAAGGTCTTCCATGCTCACATTTATGTAACACTGCATGTAACAGCTCTAAGTTGAGCCAAATCCTGTTTTCAACTTGATTTTTACATCCTTTTATTCCTACTGAACTTGGATATATTTTTGGTCACAATATAAAGTAGCAATTTTATACTGATTGCCAGTAAACCGTGAATGCAGTACGTCATGTCACAGAATATTGTAAACACATTCTCTGTATTGTATCTTACAAATTCACCTCCCTCACTGCTGCCTCTGTGCTGGTTGTGTTTCATAGCTCAAGCTACAGATTACTCCATATACAAACAGATTATCAACAAAAACTTTTAACAGCTCTAACTCAGCTACTTCAGAAAAATGCTCTCAGCTCTGCCCTTGAAGCGAGCAGTTCCAGGAAATCTGGGTGCACTGCAGAACAGACAACATGCTAAGTTGTTCAAGAGTCAGCCTAGCCTTAAGGTTGTGCTAACTATGAATTTGAAAAGGCTTCTATGTTATCTCCAGTGCACCTGATGAAGAAAATACTTGTTAAGCTTCATGTTTTACCCGCTTCAATTAGGGCAGACAGTTCCTGGGTCACTTTTTAGTCCTGAAAAAGTCTTTAGAAAACCTAAGATATATTGCAGTTCCTGGCATTTAAAAAGCCACCTTTGCCCCTCATCAACCCCCAAAGCAGCTCTCAATCCTTCATCCAGCATGAGTACAGGAACACAAGTCCAACCAACGGTGACCAGGAAACATGCAGGGGAGGAACTCACTGATGCCAGTGGGGAGAGAAAAAGCTCAGGATAAAGTGCATGTGTTTTTCTGATGTCCCATGTGACAGCATTGTGCAGATGAAGCCCAAATTACCCCTCTGCAGCCTGCAAGTGGGGGATAGTTTCTTTGGTGGTACAGCCCTCAAAAAATGCATGCTAGGAAGGAAGTCCAGCTCTCACACCACAACAGTAACATGCAGAGCACTATGGAACCATGGAAAATAAGGCTTGACAAAAACCAGCATTGACACAGGGGGTGAGAAAAGGCCTGCTTCCTTTATCCTACTTTAAGTACTGGCATAAAGCATCTAATTTGACCTGGTATCCAAGCAAAGATGATTGAGTTTACCCATGAGGGCTCGTTAGCTGGAGACTTGCTCTATTAAAAGCTGGTCTCAGTGGTTATTTGCTGCCAATCAGGCTTCTTAGCAAAGTGGTACTCCTTCTTGGGGGAAGGTAAGAGCTACTGCCTTCCCTTTTCTGCTTTTTGTTATTTTGGTGTATGCAATGTAATTATTAAGAGCCATTTCAGTAGCAAAAACTCAAATATAAAAACTTAGTTTGCATTAAGTTGTTTACTGACCAGTTAGTTTCCTGGTTTTCCCTAGCTCTGCCTTCCCTGTCTTCCCTTAATAATTCACCTGTTTACTTATTTAAATGTGGAAGGAATGAGCTGTTATACAGTAACTCTAATTGCTGAACTAATTCCCAACTTACTGTTTAATTTATCTGCAAATGATGCTTGGTACATGGTTTAATTTTAACACTGGAGAACGTGTAGGTTCATCACAGTCTTTATTCCACCAATAACCCATGAATGGCACTTGAGGCAAAAACTTTCTTGCCAATTAAAACTTCTGTAATAGGTAATGAGTGCAGTCTTTATACTGTTTGGTTTATAATTGTTGGCTGAATCAGTTCTCATATATTGGAGCACCCAAATGTTTTGATAATCAACTGGCAGCTGTTCTGCAACAGCAACTGTATCTCATCCATAAACAACCAGGTCCTTATTTGTTAGAGCAAATAAGGGAGTGAAGTCAAGCCCTGCTGTGCCTTACCATAACCACCTATCAAGAGATGACCACACTGCTTGTCCACTTCCCCTCACCCACCAATTCCCCCAGGATTTCACCACACTGGTCCTTTAAAATGAATCCTTAAATAGGTCACTGGATGCAGCACACTACAGCAGGAAGAGCAAAGGATAGAAATGGTATTGAGCAAGTACCACCCTTTTTATTCTGATGATGTCCCTTGTGCTAGCTTGCCTTGTGCTGTCAGAATAGCAAGCCCTGCCTGTGCCATGGCTACTGGGGCCATGCTGCTGGCCTGGCCAGTGAGGTGCTGGGAATGCTCTGTGGACAGACCTTACAGGCACCCAACAAATCTGGCAGCTAGGAGGAGCAGCTATGGGGACCCAGCATGCCTGGCAGCTCTGGCCAGGGCTGCTTGGGGAGCGTGGCAGGGAGACTCTGTCTCGGTGGCCATGGCCACTCTGTTCACTTGCACGTCCAACAAATATTGTTGCCTGTCCAGCAACTGGCTGGCAGGAAGGGCCAGTCCAGCCACACGGTGTCAAGACGTTCCTTCCAGCACAGCTTCCATCAGTTTCACACTAATTGTAAATAAAATAGCAAGGGGCACCAGATAGATCTCACAACTGATTTGATTGGTGACTAAGCAAGCGTGTCCTCTGCCCTGCTCACAAGGACTGCCGGGCTAGGGAGCCCTTCATGTGCTCCCAGTTGTTGTACAGGGCGTAGAGGCCAGTCAGCGTCAGGCCTGCGATCCCACCTCGTGCTATCCCGCGCACTCCACCTGCGAAAAACAAAACACATTGCAGCTCATTAGTGTTACTTTCAGGAAATGGTCAGTGAGTGGCAACTTCCAAGAAGCTGTTTAAATCCAGAGGCATCTTAATGGACAGTTCTTTCTTGAGTTAACTCTCCAGAAAGAGTCCCTGTGCTTTTTCTACCTTCCTCTCACACCTGCTGCCAGGCTCATGGTCACTCACTCCTGATCCTGACACTAATTCTGCTGCAATGACTTCCTCTCAAACTGTATTAGCGCTACTGCTTCAGGGAACCATTACAGAGCACTGGAAGCCAAGGTGGCTTTTCCCAAGTCCTACTTAATCCATTCTCTCTGTCCTTATTACATTTCTTTTTACAGTTAGACACACTCTCCTCCTGTTACAAGATTGCCTCCAGGTTTTCAGTTATGATAATTAGCTCTGGGCAGGTGGCAAATAAGTGAACAAAACAGCAGCTGATAGGGACATGACATTGGGCTCCAGAGATTCATTAGGGCCATCATACAAAACCTGTAAGTGCTTTTGTGTCTTTGGAATTTTAAAACTTTTTGATTAAAAAATAGGAAGTAGATGAAAAGGGTTAACTGGCAGGTATTTACTGTGTTGTATATTGAACAGCTTTCTTTATTCTTTTATTAATAATCAGAATTATCACCTTGCAATTGTAAAAATAGAGTCACATAGGAAATCTTAAGGTATTGGTGAGCACCTTGAGAAATACAGGACAAGTTTGGCTACTGCCTGCAGGTAGTGCACCTGGCTGGAGCTGGGAGTCAGGCAGCATCCTACCTCCACTCCATCCACATAAGGACTGGGATGCACAGGGGCACAAGTAGAGACTTCTGTTGCTTTTACTAAACAGCAAAACACTTCTGTGCTTTGAGAGAGCTCCCAAAATGCACTGTAAATGCACAGAACACCTGGGCATTTGACCCTCAATGCTAGGAAAATTTCAGTGAGTTTGATTCTGCAATGTTTATCATTGCAGCTGAACCAAGCTAGATAATGTGTACAGTGTATAGAACAAGGCCAGTTTCTGCTAGCAAGATAAAAAACCCTGCTTTCATTATTGGAGAAACTGGCAGAGCAGTTCAGGTTTCTCAAACTTGAAAACAAATCTATCTCAGTAATCAGAGAGAATGTATTTGGTTTTTTTTCTTTCCATTATGGGTCATAAAGCTGTCTCACAGAATTGCCTTTAGGCTTTTAGTGAGGCAAGAAGCTGTTGGCATCAGCTAGACTGACACTGTTAACTGTGCTGTAAGGTTAAATGGGTTTCACTGGAGTTGTTAAACCCCCCTGTACTGCCCAGGCATGCAATGAAAACAAGAAATGGGACTTGGTATTAGAAGCCATGTCTAGCAATAGTTTCTAAAAATTTAATTGACAGACCAGCTGTGACAATTTGAGAGGTTTTTAGGCTGTAAGGCTGAGTTCACTGCTGTAGCTATTGAGAATTTCACAGCTCTAAGAAAAGCCCTACTGAATATGATCTATGTGCCTAAATCAGCATTTAGGAAAGCAAATGTAGATGTCTGTGTTTGATAATTGATCCTGAATTTGTTGCACAAAAAGCTTTTCACATGAAGGGCTTGCAGCTGGGTACACAAAACTAACCATGTGCAAGCAGTGTCTGGCAAAAAGCCACAGTTGAAATTTAAAGGACACTTTGTACAAAACAAGTATTTGAGATAATCTGTAAAATACTGACTCTTCATTCCTGCTGAGGTAAATGAATACAACATTAGAGCCCAACTCTCTCCTGTTCCTATCAGGATTCAAGAGATCACAGCAGGGACCCCCAAAGGGGGCTCATGACCATCAGGTGTACAAGGAAATTTAGAACATCCCCACAGAATGCAATGCACTACGGAACTGTGAGGCTCTTTCCTCACCCCCCAGGTTCAATTTCTCTCATTTCCCCTTAAAATCCTATTCTTCCTATGCAAGAACATGTAGTTGAAGGACGATCAATCTGGGTCCAGACTCTGTAAAGTCAGGGCTGTACAAGAAAGGTGTCATCTTTCATTAGGATTTCCAAGCTCTATTCTAGCATCCATGTATGAGGACTTTAGATGTGCTGCTCCTACCACAATAGATATTGGTGTTCTCATGTGCTGACCCAGCCAGGTAAGGATTGCAGCTCTGACCCTCCTGGCAAAAGTCAACCACAGGGCTTAAAGCCACCTCTAGGCCTGCAGACAACTTAGGGACATTGCTGGAGATGTTTCATGAACAGGGTACTAAACTTGTGCAGTTGGTACAGGTGCATGACTGAGAGAGAAGATATCCAAGAAAACATACAAGAAGTGTTTCTTGATCAGTGTTTCATACAATGTTTCTGCTACGGAATGTTGGGGTGTTTTTTGTTTTTGTGGTTTGTTTTTTTTTGTAGCAGTTGCTCCTGGTTTCTGAACTACAGAGAGTAATTACAAAAAAAAGAAAAAAAAGGGAAAGAAAACTTTCTTTTCCCTAACTGGCATGATTTGTGTTTGAGTAAGTGTGTCCAGGTCTGTGGAAGACTACAAACAGTAATGCCCTTTAGAATGCAGCCCCGTCGCTGGCCAGAAAATCTTAGGGCCTCTGAGAAAATTAACTTGTTAGCAAAAATAAAAAATAAATTCTCCACTCCCATCCCAGCTGTGTTTGCATGATAGAACATGTTCCCACCCCTCCTCTGCAATCACTCTCTGCAAGCCTTTGATACCAAGTCTGCCCTGACAAGCCCTGCTGAGACATGGCAGTGAGCCCCTAATCTTGCATGTCCCAGTAAGATAAAGGTTCCAGCTGACAGACACTTCTAGAAGCAGGTATTTTGAGATCAGGCACCTTGCACAAGAGTTGAGAACTGCTGTGGGTTTCCAAAGATAGATCTGATGCTCTCTAAATGGGAAGTTAGTTCTCTGGCTTCAGCTGCTGCACCCTTTCACCACCAAGTGTTGTCCCTCCTCTATGCCTTTCAATAGGTCCCAGCTTCCACTGTGCTGTGGCACAGCTCAGTGTCCCAGTGCACTGTGCCACAGCTCACAGCATTCCCACAGCATAGCTCTGCATTCCAGCAAGGCAGGAGCCACTCCTAACACTGAGCTGCACTTGTCCCATAGGTAAAACCGTGAGGGCAGAATCTTCCATTTAGAACCTTACGGTCCCTGTTTTCAGAATGTTACTTCAATGTCCTGGGATAGTTCCTGGAATGTTTAAAGCAAGAACCATCCAGCAGCAAACATTACAAATAACTTCACCAAAACCTCAGACCCACATATTTATGCCGAACAAAAGAAGAATAATCTTTAAATTGCATTAAGTTTTCTGCCCTCCAATCTCTCTTGGATACTCTGAATGAAAACAGCTTCTCTTCCTTCTGGCCCTCCCAGGAACAAGAATACTTTAAAATGTTTTAAAGGACTCAAGTATACAAAGCAATCTCAGTTTTGCTCCATATTCAAGCTCAGTAATCAGACCATCTGAACCATCAAGCAGTCATTTGTTTGAACATCTGTGGGTGGCCTGATGTCATTAGAAAATATCAAGAGTTTCCTCTTGCTGCTCCATGGGGTTCATTTCATGAAATTTTCTAAGCAGTGGGCAGTCTGTGGATACATAAATTACTGAGGCAACTGATAAACTTCTATTTGGAAGCAAGATATATTCCAGAAAAGCATCTTCCTTTTTCATATTGCTGCAGCTAAGGCAGTATTGTGCTTAGAATACAGAAACAACAAAGTTTAAAAGAGGGAACATTTCCTGCAGTTACTGTGGTATGAAGGCTAAATTAGAAAAAGCAGTAGGAATCTACAATTTAATTTACTGGTTTGGAAATACTAGAGCTGTTGAAGTTACTTTGCAAACATGATTAAAATTTGCTGTCTTCTCGCTGAGTGAAAGCAGCAGCACCTGACTGACAGAAGGCTACTTCAGCTACTGTAAATGGCACCTGTAAACCCTGCAAACCTCTGCAGCTCTGAGTTCACTGCTCCTGCCCAGCAGAGCTAGCGCTCAGTGGCCACACATACTCTCAGACATCAGTCCTCAAGTAACTAAGAAGGCCTCAACAAGCTGTTACCTGTAGTGCTGCTTGTACGTTATCCTTATCTCTTCCTTATTTCAGATTTAAAAAAAATCCTTTCTCTAAACATCATTTGATTGGTAATCCTATAGACTTGTTATGTGAAAAGGGGTTCTTAAATTTCCAAAATGCCAGCCATAAACTTAAGTGATGACAAGCAAGGTCTTCAGTTTTTTCTAAATACTGCAGAAAAGTAGGATATCCCAGGCCTGTAGATACACTCCCCCCAGAGCTCTTCTCTCCCCCTCTCCAGCCAAAAGGAGCAAGGAAACAGCCCTGTCTGGCCCAAAGGAATACATGGGTTGGGCTCAGAGAACAGGCTTTTTACAGCTCAAGAAGCTGTCAGCTAACATAACTGCCCTGAAGTACCCACTGGATGTCAGAAAACTGATCTTTAGCTCTAGCCAGATTTTACTGCTGGCAATAAAACATTTAGCCCTTCCTAATTCATAACATATTGACTTTTCAGGGTTGTGTTCTGAGGTCTTAAAATGACATTCATCTATTGCTAGCATGTAATTTTTCAGACACACACCATTTTCTGTACCAAATTATATAATGTCTATTGTTCAAAGGCATGAGATGCTGTACCTAGGATTGGGTTCCTACTGCACAAAAGTAAACAAAGGAATTTTGTCTGTCCAAAGAATTAGTTTACTTTTGTTGCTGTTATCCCTAACCTCAAGAGAGGAAAAAAATTATCCAAGAAAAAGAATATCTGCAGTCTGTGGAGATCTTCTACTTCAGAGAAGAGGTAAAGGTCGGTTAACTTTTTTGCTTACTGAAGTCCGTCAGGAATTCCAGTGAGAAATTAATTGCTGTCACACTGGGTCAGGCCAAAGTCCCACCTAGCTCAGTATCTTTTCCTGAGTGATCAATCCTGCATGCTTGTAGGAGCCTCAGGGAGCTGTACCTTTGTGACAACTGGAACCATGCATTTTCATGGTGGGAGGGTAAAACAGCAACATGGTGCACAGCGACAATCACTTTTGTTTGGTGGTTTTTTTTTGTTACTTTCATGACTAATACAATTATAAGAAAACCAAATAAAAATGGTCAGTTTAAAAAAGAGGTTGGAAACGCATGCAAGGAGGCTAAACATTTGTTTTAAGATATATCTGTATTTTGTAACATTTATCAGAAGAAACATGGCATAACAGATACTAATTTCTGCCTTTGCTTAAAACTGAAGAATAAAGAATAGTATCTTATTAAACAGAAAAGTCATCCTTGTGGACTTAGGATATCAGACCTCCTTTTAGCAAAACTCAAATTAACTGAGTTCTATTCCATATGCCACTGGCAGAGGAATCCCAAGGGTTTTTTCCTAACTGTTGCCCAAACTGAATGTTCTGCGTGGAAGTCAAGTGGTGAGCTCACAAAATTGCTCCCATGAAGTTGTAAGACTGGTGTAACAAATTAATATGTACTCTTATTTCTGCATTTCGGCTAAAATCTAGTCAGTAATTGTGGCATTAAACTTAAATTGAAATAAATGTGAAAGCTGGAGATCACTTTGGTCAGATGAATCAAGAAGTTGTTTCAAAACCCCTCACATCAGTTTTCCATTCCCACTCAATAGGTGTTTTTTGACTTAAGCCATGCAGTACTGCTGAGATGGAGCCCAGCTATCACCTGCTTTTAATGGGGACTGAACTGCTTCAGTCACTTCAATGGCAAGTTTCAATGAGTGATGGCACTGCCAGTGAACACAGGGAGGGGGCTGAATTGCCACTGTCCTCCCTTGCAGAGCTTTCAATCCTCTCTTATCTTCTCCCACACAAGCTGTGTCAAGTAGCTTTATACAAAACTGCTCACAATCAATGGCTTTAGAACGTGCACGTTCTGTTTGACTGCTGCCATTTTGGTAATGATTAACACTTCTACAAGGACAAATTGTGAAAACTGGGACCAGTTTGGGGCAACGAATCTCAGCCTTAACAAAGTCTTCCCACTATGTTTTTTTCCTGTCCACTCATCAGATGTTTAATCGCTGGTTTCAGAAATTCAATCTAGGTTTTGCAGGGTACACAGGAGTGTTTTGCAGTGCATCAGGGCTGCTGATGTGATTCCTCCATCAGTGCTGTGGTTAAGCATGAAGTTATAAAAGACCTGCCATACATTATTCCATTTCTTCTTAAGTATGTTCCTGATCTCCTTACAAAGCAGGAATGATGGAAGTGGGAAATTTGTGTGTTTCAACAGCACTGCTTGCATCTCTGTATCCACCCTTTGTGGACTACAGAGCAGCCTTGATTTGCAATGGCATGTTTGTGTGAGCTCCCAGCTGACACTAAAATATGGAGATTTATAACTCAGTGTCTTTGACAAGCTTTTACATTTTCTTAATGCCAACATGTCATGGCATTCCATGTAACACAGGTGATTATTACAGTCTTGATATGTCAGATGTGTGCTGATCTTTTGCATGGTTTAAATATTCAAGGTTTTAAGGTAAATATACACACTGATGCAGTGTAAAGGCAGAACTTTAAAGTTTTACCATACAAAAGAAGAAAGGGTATTCTGGCATAAGGTGACAGGAGAGGCAACAGTTTCTCTGCACTATGGTTCATATACCCAACACACACTTGAAATACAATACTGTAATGAATAGAGATTTACTGACTTAATTTGCTTTTATCAGGGCTGCCACTAGCTCTGTAGATCTTGTGTTACAAAACAAATGTCCCACTGTGCTCTGGTAATAAAAACCTTAGTGCTGTCAGATGACTGTGCATGTGACTGGAGTAGTTATCCATGGTTGCACTGTGCAAAAAAAAGATTACACATAATGCCAGCTCTATACTTCAGAAAGGTAAGGGGGATGCTTCTGCTGGAGTATTAGATGACAGTTCTCCTTGTTAATAAACTCCTACAGAAAATATTAGGCTTCTATATGCTACCCTTTCTGGCTGTTCTTGGTAATCCGTCATATCACTCATGAAATTCCAAGGAAGAAATGGATTACAGGAGAGCTCTGTGCCCTTGCAAAATTAAGAGTCTCATATTTATGATGGCTGCTCCAGCCAATTATTTTCGGCTTCAGGTAGTCTAAGCCATCAGGAAAATAGCTACTCAAACTGTTTTGCCCCATACATGAAGCAGCCCTTCAGGAACACTGTGAAGACACTGCAACTCAGTTAGATATACAAAAGTACATAGGTTAATTCTTGCATTATCTCCTCCATAAAATGCATGTGAGTCATCCAGCCAAACATTTACTAAGTTACTTAAAACATAAAACTTTTTTCCATGTGCCAATGTCAACCTGTGGTACCCAGCAATCCTCTAAAAAAGATGACACCTCCACTTGTTAAGCTTGGAACATGTGTTGACAGCCATTTTGCTGATGAAGCTCAGACCCTCTCTCCTGCAAACAATTCAGTTTGCATCAGTAAACTCACCTTAAATCTATGCTGCTCTCAAATAACCTTGTTTGTTGGTTTTGACCACTATGCAAAGACTAGAATCCTACCACAAGACAACAGTTTCATGAACACCTTAGTAATAATTTCATAAATACATCAGTTTCTCTGTGTGTAGGGTTTTTGCAGCTCCAGGTACCACTATCATGTGCATTACTATCACATGGATCACTTGTAGTAGGTTTAATCTTCATGCAATCAAGCTCTATATTGTGTTTTCCTTCCCTGTCCCCATTCTCTTTGGAAGGTAATTCCCATTTGCCTGCACCCACTCATGGACTTGAGGAACAATTACTTTTATTCCTGCTATTGCTGAAAACATGGCTAGGAATGAGGTGAGTGTGTATTTTATACAACCTCACCACATATCTGAGGAAATAAATGACTGTTTCTTCAGTATATATGTACAACAGTCATAATTTGGCTCTCATGGTTACTGTTAGTCCTGTGAAGTTTCAAAGAACCAAATTTAGTTCAGCTGGACTTTTTTTTAGTGCAAGTTTTCCTTAAGTAGCTTTAGTTGGGTGAAAAATGTGGATTAGGGGACATTGGGCTAATAGCCATTTTTACACTGTCAATTTTCAGAGCAGGACAGTATTTAGTAGAAGTAATGAGAATCCTAATAACTAAGATAAGCACAAGAGAAGGAAAAGGAGAAATATTTTGCTACTGTACCAGTGCTTTTGTATAGCATTCCTGTCAAGGTTCCAGCAGCTATGGTGTTCAGGTCATCTTCTGCACCTCGTGTTTTTTCAATGATGACTCCAAACGCACTGTAAAGTAGAGCTGGGGGAGGAAAAAAAGATTAAAAAAGATTAAAAAACCTTCCATGGTCTGAGGCCCAAGGCTTGGAATCCTGGCTTGGTGCAGCTATTTAGACCATGCTTCTGAAGAACAGATTTGCTGCTTATTTGAAGGGAATCCTCTGCAAAATCCCATCATTGGTGTTTCTTTTCCATATCTCTTTCTATATAGCTATTTCTTTTTGCTTGAGCTATAATTTGATTATAAAGTAGCATTCTTCATGACATGTGCTATAAAGCACTGACTAAAGTTTAAGCCTGTTTTGCTAGTTCGAATTTGTATGAAAATTCAGGGTTTAAATTTGAACTGCCAGTTTGATACTGTCTTCTGTGGATGACATGAAACTAAACCCATCACTTTCTAGGCAGAGAAAATTGCTGTCCTGTGTGACAGTGATGAAATTTGAGTTAAGTACAGCATTCAGATAATGCTACCAAGAGCTGGAGTACAGTGGACTATGTTCCTTTTAAAAATTACTATTGGAATGCTTGGGATTTGACATTTGCAGCCGTTTCACCTCTGCTTGTGCATGAAATCTTTATCCCCAGAGGGCCTTTTGCTTTGGGATAACTTTAGGGACTGTCCTGGAAAGGACGATAAGAAAGAGTCCATGGGCTTTCTAGCATGGATGCATTTGTAATTTATGAATTTTGATGAAAAGGAAAAGGTCCCATATCCTCACCCCTCATTCATATTTCATGCTGGCAAAGAACAGTAGAATATGTCATCATTTTGAAGTGATAAAGGTAATGCCATTTAATTATTTCCTTGCCCTCCAAGCATTTGAAATCTTTCCTTCTGCTAAAAGGAAGTAAATTCTTCATAAGCAACCACAATGAAGTCAATGAGTTAACAGCAGCATTGCTCTCCATTCAGCACAGGCAAGGGTATTTTTGTCTTAGCAGCAAGTAGATTAACAATGAAGGAAGGAAAACAAAACATAATTTTTTAAAACAGTTCCACATTTGCTGCCTCTGTTCAGGAACAGAATGACAAAAATTGTCAGTAGTGACAAAAATAATCTCTGAGGTACAGAAAGGCTGCACAAGGTGAAGTAAGATGCAAAAATAATTGAGCTCTTTGAAAGGAATTTCTCTGGGAGCTAGGACAAGACAGAGGTCTACCAGAATCCCAAATATAAAGTTCTGCTTAACTCCGTGATTTTGGAGGCCGTATTTTGTAAGAAAAATAGCAATTTGTTAGTGGAATGCACAAACATTTTCTTGAGTAATCTTCAAACACAGCTGAAAAAACCTGTTAATGTGTCACTTAAACCTTGAACTGCAGTGTGGCTGCATCTCAATTCTCAGACATGTTTTTGTTAGACTTGTACCAAAAAAAGAGAAAAAAATCCAAACAAAAAATGGCCCAATAAAACTCAGCAGGCAATACACATTTCTTATAGAAAAAGTGTCTTTCTTGCTGTAGCTCAAAATCCCATCTCTAACCATGCCTCTATACTATGCCCCAAAAGCTAATGCCTAAATTAAAAGTCAGCTAATCTGCTCTTCAGAAATAAGATTGAAATAAAATGTCATAGGTGCAACTCAGCCTACGCTTTGATGCATTTCTCAAAAGTCAAACAGATGTAGACTGGGTTATAACATGATGTAGTCTCTGATTAAAATATTGCTAACTTCTACTACAACTTTGCAGGACAACAAGGTCCATCATTATTTTTCTTCAAAATAATTTAATCAATTTTTTGATTTCACCTTTTACAGTTACTGCATCAGTTTGCATTTTTTAAGACTGTGGAAGACTGGGGGGAGGTGAAAAAAATTGTAGTTTCTAGGGCATTAATTATTTCACTGACTTTTATGAAATAATCTCATTTTTCTGAGGCAACTGATGTGATTTTATTTCACAGCCCCCTACCACCAAACTTCAGTTCATAGAAGTTTTTTTCTCTTACATCAGGCCATTGGTCATTTTCTTTTCTATTTTTTCCTAACCCACATTAGTTACAAGCAACATTTAGGTTTAGAATCAGTGGTATCATGTATGATTTTTCTAGCTAATGTACCATCATTTAAAGGATAAATCTTTGTACTGAGTATCACATTTCTTCTTCACATAAACATTTTGTTAACTCTAACAGGAAAGAAACATTGGGCAGTTGATCATATGACCACAGAGTCTCAATGTAGGTTATTAAAGTTATTTCAGAAATATTAAATTATATTTTTTCTGTAAGCTGTAATTCAACTGGAAATTATTAGCAAGCAAACATGATCTGTAATTTCTAATTATTTCTGTTATGACTAGAGTTTGTTTATAATATGTAAAAAAAAGGGGTTTTAATTAAAGGCTTTTGGCTGCAAATCCTATTTTAGCCTTTAATTTCTTTTTTCATGTCTACTGAAATACCCTCAAGCCCCCAAAGAAAATAAACCTGCTCTTTTTCCTGATGTATTTAATAATGAAAATTTAGAGAATACTCTTACTGAGATAATACACAAATACACTTTCTCAACAATTACATCTTTAAATTCCTTTCCCTATGAAGGAATGACTTTACTTACCCAGTGATCCCAGAGTGTTAGCCCATAACGCTCCTTGCCTTGTCACCATATTTAGAATTCTATAAAGGAGTTAAAGAGGTATGAAAACCTTTAGCACTCTGTGTTTACATCAAGGCAGTGTTTATGACAGTAGGGCTTCTGTGTTTACATTATATATGTAGTTAATAAAACTGCAGTGATGAACTAAAAGCTTCTGAAAGCAATATTCAGTCCTGTCAAGTCTTAAGAAAATCTTTCTCTCTTTTCAAGGCAAACTTGACCCTCCCCAAGACTCAAATCTCTTCCCTTCAAATGACTTTCTAAGCTGAGTTTTCCTTCCTTCCATGGTGACTACATACAGCTCCTGGAATAAGGGATACACTTATGCACACTTAGCTGGGTGAAAGGTCTCCAAGAAAGCCTCAGTGCTCCTCTACAAGGACCATGTGTCAGGGAGTGTGGTGATCCCTGAGCAAATGCTGGGGGCAATAAAGCAAGTCTGGACTGAGCAAGTTGGGAAGGAAAGAGACAGTGCCTTAGAATCCCATCTGTGCATCCAGCACCCAGCAAAAGGCCAAGAAGCGTGTCTGTGTGTATGGTCTGTGTGTACGCTTCCAGACTAGCACTAAAGAGGAAGAGAGAACCTTTAGTGCGCTCTCAGGGAAGCACAATGCCACTTCTTGCTGCCACCAGCTGTCTCCAGAATGGTGACAACAGCAGCCTGAAGAAATGACTGATCTTTATCTCCCAGCAGTGTAACACTATCACAGGCACAGTATCGCTCTGGACAGCTGACTACCACTGGAACTGGAACAGCATTTAATGTCTGACACTTTCATTGCTTTATGTTCCTTCTGATTTAACTTTCTATTGTTTTTCCTTTTTTATAATTTTCATTAGGACACAGGTCATTACTGAATATAGTTAGGCAATGAAGTAAACAATAATGGAACATTTCACTTTGAAACAAGAGGAAAAAAAATTTAAAAGGCTAGGGTATTGATAACCTCTCCTTAATTACAATTCCCACATTTTAACTTTATATTAATTTTAAATTGATAAGAGAATCAGTAATTCTAACAACCATGGTATGGTGAAGTATTTGATGACAAGTGAATAACAGCAAAATTAAAATTCATTAAGAAAGAAATCTGTGTACATTAGGGATAAATTTGGAGGAAATCTAGCTAATCAAGTCTGTTCTCTGCACCGGATGAGGGAAAAACAGAACTTAATGCACTAATGGAAGGTGATGACCTTTAGCAGACCTTTGCCTTGCAGAGCCAGGATAAGAGCAGCGTGTGCACTGACTGCCACCTCCTGGGCTTGACTTGCCAAAATTTGTGATTATCATGGCTTTGTCCAACTCTGCTCATTCCAAACCCTAAAATACAATTATGTTCATCTAGAGCATTATGAAAGTCGTAACTATAGTGCTGAATATTTTAATAAAGAAGGGGATGAATATAGAAACAATTTAAAAAGGAGCAAAGCCAATATAAACTGTACCAGGAAATATGAAATTCCTCTTCTAAAGTTTCCTTGATCCAAAGTATTCTGGGAGTGAAAATTTCCCATGTTTTTTCTGGTTTCCAATGACTCTTTCACTTAGGTTTTCCTATAGCTATGTCTAAGCTACCATTATTTTAAGAAGAGGCATCCTGTTGAAACAAATATTCCTGTCTTTGCTGTGTTCTTTCAAATGCTGGTTTTAAATCAGGTAAGGCAAAAACATGGCAATGTCATGGACGTTCACATATGCCATAACCCAGAACAGCTCCACCCTGCAATGCCTGCTCAGCAGCATGCACCAATGTCATCCCTAATGCTAATCCAGGCAGGGTCAGCTCTGCATTTGAATCTTATCCTCGTTGTGAAAAGCTTGGGAAAGAAGAGAGACTCATGCTCAGATAAATTACAGCAAAAAATATCTCAAAGTAAACACTGCTGCTTCTGGGAATATTTCTACATAGAAAAGCATTGCTTTGACTTTGAAGTAGATTTTTAGTGAACATCAAAGTAGCAATTATTTTTCAAATATATAAGTTAAGTCACAGGACACACAAATTGTGACTACGTAAAAAGCAAAAATATTGAACTGAACATCCCTGTAAAAACATGTAATAACTTGATCAAGACAAATACTGACTGCCATTTGTCCCCACTAAAGAAAAAAACAACCCCAAAACATTTATTTTTGCAGTATATTCAGATCTAACCTTGCATAAACTGGAAGAAAAAACTCTTGTCACTAAGAAGTACATTTTTTTACATGGAACACTTACTGTACGTTTCTAGGTTTTGACCATGCCATATTCTGTGTCTCCTTCAAGCCAAGTCTTAAACCATTCAGTGCACCAAATGCTGCCCCTAGATGGAATATTATCAGTTATTACTTTTTAAGAAGAAAAAAATAAACAATACTAGAAGTAAATACTGAGAATAGAATTCAGTGTATAAACTAAAACCAAATACCTCTTCATTTAAGACTAGAACAGACAATGTTTTGCAGAGCAAGACATTTACAATCTCATCAATCACTGCAGTGCATAGGTGTTACCTGGACAGCTGGACACACGGAAAAGTGAAAACCACAACTACCTACCTGTCATACAACATCCTCCAATGGTAAAAAAGGCCAGCTCAAATCTGCCTCGAGTTTTGTTGGCTCCTGTGGGCAAGATAAACTCATCTGTATCCTGGGAGAAAACAAAAACAAATGTTTTTGTATTTTCCAAGTCTAGTTCAAAATGTAAGCCATATTCATTTTTCCTTAATCCATGCAGTAAACTAAAGATGGATGAGTATTTCTGGAAAATTCTTGCCTACAGCAGTACAAGAATGGAATGTACTACATGTAAACTGCATTAAGCATGAAAAATGACTGTAAAAAGGTCAATTGGCTGAGTGACTTTTTTTTTTTCCCCTAGCTGTGCTAACTTTTTATAAATTACATCAGTCAGCCAAGGAACTCATACTGTGTGGGCTGTTGGTTGGTTTTGTTTTCAATGACTATTTGCTTAATTATTAATTACATCTTGGAGCAGGCAATACAAGCCTTCCAAAAACATTCCTGTTGTCTGATTACATAGCACTGTTTCCTCACTGAGCAACCCAGTCTGATACAACAGCGCATTAATTAAGTTTCCAACTACTCTGATACTAAGTAAAAACTGCCTTTTTATGAAAAGAGGTATTTCCTTGCACTAAGTGACCTATTTTAGGGACGTGAAAAACTCAGGGAAATCACTGAAAACTAGTCGTGATTTGGCATCACTTTTGTGAGGTTGGTTGACTTTTTACTTGTCCATCTTTCTCCCACAAGGACACACTTGTGTTCTGGCAAATCAGTGGTCTAGAAAGTTAGAGAAATGGCCTAGAGAAACTGGCATATGTGTAGAGACAAGGTGTGCCAAGGCACTTATTCAGTAGGAGACACTGAACATGCCTGTTGTTGATAAGGTGCTAAAGCAGCAGATCTCTTTTAAGCTCCTGTACTTTCCAGTCACAGCATTATCCGCCCCTACTTAACTGATACAAGACTCAAACAGCTGCAGGCTCAAGGAAATGCATTCTAAGGGGTTTTATTGGCCCAGACCTGACACTGAATGCAAAGAGCAATACAGGAAAAATAGATCCTAAAATTGTGAAGTGTTACCAATAAAATTAACCTATAATATGGTTTCTATCTTCTTTGTAATTACTGTTGGAATAATTCAGTGTTTACACAAGTCAGCAGTTTCTAAGTTTTCACTACTGTCCCAAAAGTCAAGATGAAGCAATCCTTGCCTATGTAACATCTAAGTTTCTAGAGACAACCTGAAAAGCCCATCCTCTAGGCTTCTGCCAAAGGCTGACATGCAAATTTATAACACAGTGCTGTTATAAACGCAATTTATAACAATGCTGCAACACAGCATTGCAGAAAACATCTTGTTCTGTGCCTGCATTCATAGACCAACCAGAAATGTCAGGTTTAAAGTAACAAGTACCAGTGTACCATTTGTTATTACGGGATTTGTTATTATGAACCAAATGTAAGATTCTCAACAGTAAGGCTGGCTTTCCTGCTGCATTCTGAAAACAAACAGACGGTCTTTAAACACCAGGAGACCCTCACCTCTCCCTCCACATGCACCTTCACAGGAACCCCAAATTTGAAGGCTAATAATTTCTTATATTCTGAAGTACTAGCTATGTCTTTTTCCTCCAGTATGTAGAATCCTAGGAACCTGTGGAGACTGTTTAGTGCAATCCCCATTGTTACAAGAAGGGTCAGTTAGTGCTGGGCACTCAGAGCCATTCCCATGTCTTGTGATTCTCTAAGGAAGGAGACCTCACTGCTTGTATGGGCAACTTGAATTCTTTTTTATTTCAATGCACTTTGCTATTACTTCAACACACTAGTGCTAAACATGAAGGGCAGAGAAGTGTTACAACGAAGACTGCAGCCTCTAGTGTTACATCAATAGATATTTTTAGAACTGTATCATGACACTAATGCAAATCCCTTTGCATTTAAAGCAAACTTCTCTTTTGTTTCTAAAATCTCTTAGTACACACACACACTTTGTTCCAAAATCCCTGCTACACAATTTTTATCACCAACATGTTCTCAGACAAACTTTCTAAAAAAAACAACTTTAGAGAGTGTTTTTAGAGAAAGTCTAAATAATCGTAGCTTCTTTCTGACCACTCAACAACAGCAGCCACAGTACTGAACCCACTTCCACCAGAGGCATAGCTGTGGTTCTCTATCCTTCTGGGAATGTTACATTGTAATCTGGCCTACAACAGCTTCCAGGCCACAGAACTGCATGCAGAGCTCCCACTTAGAAAAGAAACAGTGACCCAGCGTACCAGGCAACAAGGCACAAAAGTTAGGAGATACTATGCAACTGTTGACCTTTAAGTGCTAATTCTACAGAACTTCATGCTCTAAGATAATATGAGCCATATATGTAGAAATATACTTACTAAATAAAATCATTGACTTTCATCCTAACTTGGATTAACTTAAACATTTTCAGCTACAGTTAATATTTATGAAAAAGGAAAACATTACTTGATTGAATTTTTTTCCTTATGATGGCCTCATTTTATATTAACTGATATTAAGATACGCATGTGTGACAGCTACATTATTTTATAGAATAAAATTACTAGTTTTACTTCATGATGGTCTCCCTTCAGCTGGCTAATGACATAAGGACAGTGATGTAAAATTTGCAGCTGCCATGATGGCAAAGCCTGTTATCAGGTCTGGAGGTTGGCTGAACACCTCAGTAAACTGATAGAATTCAGTTCAGAAAACTCATCCATGAAAAAAGGGGAGAGATTTTGGCTGCTCTTACTGATTGAAACGGCTCAGTGGAGGTGTGAGCAGTGCCAGCACTTGTGTGAGGTGGTGTTGGGCTGTCTGCCTCAAGGCAGGGAGATCTCTTTCCAGCAGCAGCAGGCTCCTATTGACACAACAGCCCTACCTATCCTCTGCCTTACCAGTGCTCATTTTCTTCTAGATGTCACAGTACTCCAAGACAGATCTGATATTAGGGAAAATACTGAAAAAATTGTTTCTTTCCACTGCTCTTCAGTTCAAGACTTCGGTGCACAGTGCCCAGCACTGCAGGAGGTTTGAGGTGCTCACGTATGATCATGCAAACACTGAAATAGAGTTCAACACAATAAATACAAGCCACCTTCTCACCTGTACTAGGTACTTGGGGTCCAAGTTTAAATACGGTGACAAAGGGCTCATCCCAGTTACTAAAAGGAAAAAAAAATAGAACACTTCAATACCAACTTCCGTAGTAACGATTTACATCCTGTAAGGCAAAAAGGGGCAGATCTCGTGCGTAGCAGCAGCGAAAATTCTGCCGTGAGGCTGCCCAACTCCTTAAAAGCCGGCACGGGTCGGCAACCCCCCCTTTCCGGGAAGCGGGATGGGAGCCGCTGGGATGAGGTGAACGCGATGTCCCTGCGACCGGCGCCCGTCGCGACACGCGGCCCCCGCCGAGGCCTGCCACCTCCGCGCCCACCCTGGCTCGGCGCGGAGCCCTTCGGGAGGGGCCGCCGGTCGGGAAGGGCTTCCCGCGGCCGGGCGGCGGCGGAGCCCCGAGGGGCCGCGTGATTCCCGAGATCGGAACCGCCACCGGCATCGGTCCCGGCCGCCCGGCCCTGCAGCGGCCAGTGCGCGGACACTGTCCCCTGCGCCGGCCCCGCCGGCCGCCCCAGTACTCACGGGGCACCCCGGCCAGGTCGGCGTGAGAGTACCCGAGCCCGCCGGCGCCGAAGAGGCCGCCGAGCCCGGTGCCCTTGGAGTTCCCGCCGCCCTCCATGGCGGCCCCGCGCCCGCCGCCCTCGCCACCACCAACGGCTGCCGCAAAGCGCCGCCGTAAAGAGCCGAAAAATGCCGCCCGGCCCCGCTGCTTTGCGGGTCGCCATGGCAACGGGGTGAGGCGCGCCGGGCGCCATCTTGCTGCGAGCGCCGGGCCGCGCTCGCCGGACGCCTCTCGTTCCCGGTCTCGCCGCACCCCCCGCGCTTTGGGAAGAGCCCGGCGTCCGGGACGGAGGATGCGGACGGGCGGAGCCGCTGTCGCAGCGTCGCGCCGTCCCCAGGGGACTGGTGCTGGCCGGCCCCGGCGGGCAGGGCGGCCCCGCCGAGGATGAGCGCGGGCTGCGAGCGGGAACCCCCGCTGAAGAGAGTCCGGCCTGGCCCCGGCAGCCCCGGCGGCGGCTCCCAGGGACAGCGGCAGGAGGGGCCCGGGGGCAGCAGCTCCGCCACCGCCGTGGGGAATAAAGGTTTGTACGGGCCCCGGGGCGGCGGGCGCGGCCAGGCGCGGAGCGGGTCTCTCTGGCGTCCGTGCCGCCCCCGCCTCCTTCGGCAGCCTGCTCGCTGTTGGGGTGCGGGACGGGCCGGCGGTGCCCGGGCAGCGCTGAACTGGCCCGAGCTGGGAGCGCTGCTCGGCTCCCCCCGCCGGCCTCCCCCGCCGGGGTCGCGCCGGGGGCTGGGCGGGAGGAGGAGGGGGCGACCGAGCCGGAGGCTCCGAGTTGCCGTGTCCCGCTCTGCCGCTCAGGGCAGCTCTGCCGTGCTGCTGCCTGCCTGGGCAGCGTTGGACGGCGGGGGCCGCATGTGTCTGCACGGAGCCTGCCCGGAGCTGCCCTTCCTCGTTGGGCTGGAATTGTCTCTAACTTCGCTTCCCGGTGCCAGCGTGTCCCCTGTATCCCAGCCCGCTGGTGTGGTCACTGTGCGCTGGTTCCCCTTAGAGACGGCTTTAGGTGCAGGATCGTTATGTTGGTTTTGTGCCTGATTCTTTGCAAGTTTCCACTGAGAGTGCAAATCGTCGAAGAGAGGTGTGAGCCGCAAAATGTAGCGTGTTCCGCAAGACGGGGGACAAATACTGCGGGAAATAAGGCTTTCGGCGGTGGCTGTGCCAGGCTGTCACACAAGAGCCAAGACTAATGACAGGAGCTCACACAAGCACGTGGCTGCCAGCTTGGAGCGCTGCTGGCCCCTTGGGGTGGGGTGGCTGCTCCTGCCGCCTAACAAAGCTGTGTAGACGAAGTTCCCACGTGGTTTCCTTAGTTTTGTTTTCTGTTTGGAGCTAACGCTGCCAAAATAAAATTTTAATGCACCTCTTTCAGGAATAGAAAGGAGTGCATGGAAGGGGAAAAAAAGCCCAAACAGATTTGCTGTGATCTGCAGCTGATGAGTTAAACCTCACTAACTCCTAAGAGGCAACTTTGAATAGATGATAGTTTGGTGTTAGTGGTGTACACTCCTACAGAGTAAATTACAATCGTCTGAAAATTATGTAGATTGTAGGAGATGATTTGTTTTATGGGAATGGTTTGGGGAGTTTTGAGTAGAAATAAAAATGCCATTGAAAAAAAAAATGACAGCAAAGTCTGGTTCTTTTTACACTGAGAATAAGCCTGTGTTGTCTTTTTGTTGCCTCTTGTTTTCACCACCTTATCTGTAGCAAAAAGCCATGCTGTAAGTATGAAAGTGATGTGTGTTATGTTGGTTGGAGGGCTTACATGGCTGCTCAGATGTTGAAGTCCAAAGTAAAGCCATTTTGTTCTGTTCTGCTGCTGCTGACATTATTTCTGTTTATTGTGCTAATGAATAAATATTTCTTTCTTAGCACAAGTTTACACCTCAAGAGGTAGTCAGCTGCCTTTGAAGAGGTTTATTTGTCCCATGTTTTAACATGTCTCTTCAGATTTTTGTTTGTTTTGTTTTTTGGGTTTTTTTCTGGCTGCTTACCTGTAGGCAATTTGGATTAACACTTCAAATAGTACAAGAAGGTGAAATTTTCAAATCAGAATGACTACTAGACTTAAATTTAGTGAATCTTTGGAAATAAAAATATTTTGTTTCATAAAATCTGTCAGTCTGGTATTTGTGTCTGAGTGGAGGAAAGCTGATTGTTTATGACTTGTTTATGATTGTGGCTAATTATGGCACAGGTATCCTTGTAGCCTACATCTAGTTTGGCACTGCTCCCTGGTAACCCAGTCACATGGTGGTAGTTTTGCACTGTTGTTTGTGCCATTACGGAATATCAGAAAATAATTTCAATATTTTTTGGAGATTACTTCTCATTCTAAAAATTATGGTGTCCTCTGATTAGGGTATTTGATAAGCAGCTGTATAAAAGTGTTGACGGCCTTGAATGCTAGGGAAGTGTTTATGAAACAATGTCTCTTAAGTTACCTATGGCCTAAGCCATCTTTGTTACAAGTTACACAACCTCCATTTGCAGAACACTGCTGAGACTTCCCATACTCAGAAGAGCCAGATCTGATTTGCTGGTTTTGAAGTTCTGCACAACTATTGTTACAATAAGGTACTCCAGCTGTTCCCTACCCAGTTGAAAGCAGTGAACAAACACCTTGCACAGTCAGCAGTGGCAGGGAGATGCTTTCTCTTGGCAAATGGAAAGAAAGGGAATTGAAGTTAGTTGCCAAATTTGCAGAATATCTTTAAATAAAAACAACAAAACTAAACACCCTTTTTACTTGTAAAAACTTTTCCAGTTCTGTAAGAACTGCTTTGATTTTTTTCTCCCTGTTCCACCCCCAAAGTCTCTCCATAATCATTTTACATGTTGCTGTTCTGTTGAAAGCTTGTCTGAGCTGCAGCAGCACACAGATAAAACTGGAACTCTGTTATTGATAGTAAATCTGAAGAAATTGTGTCCTTCGTTTTGTTGCTGTTTAGGGGAGTAAGCATTGAAAAGCTTTTCAAGCTGCTGATGGATGGAGGAGAAAATAAAAAGTCCTTTTCTGAGTGCTTGTTACTTCTAGTGTGTGTTATGCTTATATTGAGCCTTATGTTTCACAGTATGCTACATGCCAATAAAGTTCTTGGATGGTTCATCAAAGATGCCTTGTTGTTTATTCTTTATTGATTTTAAGTTATGTCATGTTGCCTCTTCATTCCAAAATTCATCAGAAGGTTTTGGGGCTCACTGTGGTGATGATTAAAGGTAATGGTGAGCACTAGAAAGTTCAAGCTCCTTTGTTTTTAATTCTACACATTCACTGTATATTTTTAACCTTTTAACTATATTTTAAAAAGAGGTTGGATGAAACAAATTCCACTATACACCAAGCCTGGAAATTATATGTTTTATTAAAAAAACCTACAGCTGCTGACTGATGCAAATTAAACATTGCATCACATGCAGTTTTAATACTGCTAGTGTCTGGATGCTCCCTGTAGTAGAGATGCTAATAAGGGATTAATTGGAGGTGTTTTTATCTTCACCCAGTACAAGTTATCTTTTTCATATGCAATGATGTTGCAGTTTTATCATGTTTCATGTAATAACAGTGAACTGTGGTTTTTCAGTTTGTAAACAGCGGACAATTACCAGTTGGTTGGAGAATAAAGGACCCAAGACAACGGAGTCCAGAAGGTAAAAAGCACAACATAAACCTGTTCAAAAGTTGTGTCCTTTCAGGGGCCCTAGGGGGAGCCAGAAGTGCAGGTTGCCAGTACAGCTGGCTAAATGGAGGCAGCCCCATTTCTGCTGCTTTCCTTACCTTGGCACATTATCTTGAGTAACAAACAGCTAACTAGTCCCCCACCCATCCTCTCTAATCACCCAAGTCCAAACTTATTGCTGACATAGATTCCTGAAGCATGTCACTGTTCAGGTGAAAAAATACATTGCTCCTGCAAAGCGAAAGATTAGAACCTGGAGCAAGGGAAGGCAAAGTGGGAGTGCTGCTTCCAGTGGAAGCGAAACACTGGATCAATTTAGTTGTAATATCAGACTATGTCTTTGGTCAAGTTCTGCTTTCATTTTTGTTTGACATAGGGCACTAACAGTTACAGATTTGCATTGATAGTCCTGTGGCCAGCTCACTGTTTTTTTAATTTACAGACAAAAATCTGTTTTGGTTTGTCTCATTGGACTGCAATTGTAGCTTAAATATATGCAGCTTGATTTAATTACAGACAGGATTTACACGTGCTCAAATGTGCCTTGAGGTTTTTTATATGAAACATGTTACAAATTTTTGCTGCTGAATGGTACCAGGTAAAGTTTGATATTTTTGGTCAACATGTTCTGTCAGGAGCAGTGATTGCAAAGCTGCCTTAAAGTTATACTCCAGAGAATTTAACTGTCTGGTGCAGAGGAATATCAGATATTATTTTTCTTTAGTTGCAGTTATAAATGTGCTGGTTTATTTTTCTTTGATGTTTTCTAATAAATAGAGATCTAAGTCCATAGCAGTGCTAAAAATAGCTGTGAGGACTTGTGATAATGATTAATACAGAAATATGCAGGGCTAATTAGAGGCTTACAGCTTCCACTAAATCAAGGATGTCAAGAGGATTCTTAAGGAGGGAATGAATTTTTTTTTTTTTTTTTATATTCCCTTTAGAGTATTGTGCTTCTATGCCCTTCTCTATCCCTGCTTCCCTGCTGACAGATTAGAGCCTAGGCAACTTTCAGAAATAGATTTATTGTGTAAATATTTCATGTGCTTTTCTATTGCAGTTAACATCACAACTTTAATTTAAATTTGTGTTAGATTCAATTTCTCAGGTTGGCAACAGATATTGGCAGTACCTTTAAAGAGTCATTGAGAAGGCAGCAGTATTGTAACTCTTAGTTTTATTCATCAAAATTTGCAGGAATAAATACATACATTGGAAGTTAAATTATTGTGAAATAAGGACCTCTAAGATCCTTTTGTTTTCAAATAATCATTCTGTGGATGAAGTTCCAAGCTATCATCTCTGCTTATCCTGAGTGGTCTTTTAGAAGAGGATCTGTTACCATTCATGGAGAAAGTTAATGCCTTCAGGAATCTCTAGTCTATTAAAATGTTCAGTGGCTGAATTTAGGATGGTGTG